ATTTTTTTAATCTATATTTTCAAATAATTAGGTATTTTAATTTTACCACTCATTAAGAGTTTCCTACCAAGTATCATATATTGAGGAAGATACACTTAGATACATACATTTTTACTACCAGATACACTAATTTTTTTAATCTATATTTTCAAATAATTAGGTATTTTAATTTTACCACTCATTAAGAGTTTCCTACCAAGTATCATATATTGAGGAAGATACACTTAGATACATACATTTTTACTACCAGATACACTAATTTTTTTAATCTATATTTTCAAATAATTAGGTATTTTAATTTTACCACTCATTAAGAGTTTCCTACCAAGTATCATATATTGAGGAAGATACACTTAGATACATACATTTTTACTACCAGATACACTAATTTTTTTAATCTATATTTTCAAATAATTAGGTATTTTAATTTTACCACTCATTAAGAGTTTCCTACCAAGTATCATATATTGAGGAAGATACACTTAGATACATACATTTTTACTACCAGATACACTAATTTTTTTAATCTATATTTTCAAATAATTAGGTATTTTAATTTTACCACTCATTAAGAGTTTCCTACCAAGTATCATATATTGAGGAAGATACACTTAGATACATACATTTTTACTACCAGATACACTAATTTTTTTAATCTATATTTTCAAATAATTAGGTATTTTAATTTTACCACTCATTAAGAGTTTCCTACCAAGTATCATATATTGAGGAAGATACACCTAAATACATGCATTTTTGCTACCATATATACTAAAATAAGGAGAGAGGCGAGCGAGATGGGGTGGGAGGCAAGCGAGATAGTCATGTATATATCACAAATAAATGAGAATCACGCTAGATATACATGTATTTTTATATATCTGGTGTGATTCACATGTATGTGGGATACCGATACATAGAAAGTAGCGAGCGAGATGAGAGAGAGGCAAACGAGATTTGTTATGTATCTCAGATACATGCGAATCCAATTGGATACAGTATATCTAGAACCATTTACATCTAATTCTAAACCAATGTATCACAAGATAGATATATTTGGACGTACCAAAATCTGATAAGATTCGTGATCTAACAAACTAAAGTGTATCTAAATTATTTACTCCTAAACTAGTGAAATTTCGATAAGTTTTCCAAAATAAAATACTTTTTTTTTTGTCATTTTCTCCTCAATGGGTTAACAATCTAACACCAAACTTCCATGATTTGTCGTGAATCATGTTCTGTAATATATATAGTAACTTTTGGTGCAGCTAATTGAAATCTATATAAACACTATAACTTGTAATCATTTTATCACCACTTTCTTTTCAAAATCTTTTGTTATACTTAAAATAATAATAATATATATATGGGTGTGAAAGGCAAGTTGATTGCTTCAGTAGAAGTGAAGTGTGGAGGACACTTGGTTCATGATATTTTTCACACCAAAACTCATCACATATCCAACATGTGCCCTAGCAAGATCCAAAGTTTTGAGATTCATGAAGGTGAAACTGTAAAAGTTGGTTCAGTCGTTAACTGGAAATATAATGATGGTAATATATACACATTATTCCTTTTTCTACGTATGAATCATTTTATATATATATATATATTTAGGTGTGTTTGATGGTACTGAGAAAGTTCATTTCCAACTGAATATTTTTCATAAAAAAGTTATTTAATGATGTTTAGTTACCCTAGGGTAAACATTTTACTCTAAAAAGAAAAAATAACTTCTTTCATTTGTGGGGAAAGTCATTTTTTCATATAAGTGTCTTAATTTTTAAGATCATATTATTTGCTCCCAAAAGTTTATGTACTTATAAGTTTCAACGGCTAATATTATTATAGGCAATATTTTTTTTTTACCCTAGGGAATCCGAGCAACTCCCTCTCGTCATTATACGCAATATAGATATGTAGCAAAATCGAAAAAATATTATTAAAAGAGTAATCAAGTCTAAACCCACATTTGCAAAGTGTAACGAGTATTAGTTGTATAAATATAAACGTTGAAGGTTGAACCAATCAAATTTAAATCATTAATGATCTGTTTTTGTTTGCTCCAAATATTTTGACATTATTAATCTTTAGTAATAAAAAATATTTTATGAGAACACCTTCCAATTTTCTGAAGAAATGATTGAACTTTAACTTGTACTTTTCATAAAATATTTTCTCATCATCAATCAAATATTGTGAGACGTTATACAAACATTTTACAAATTTCATTGGAGAAAATGAAAAACAAAGAAAAACCTATAAAACGATCGAGCTAAAAATATGTAATTGTGAATGTTCAACTTGAAGTTGCTTGTTATCATCTCTTATATTTTTTATTTTATTGATTATAGATGAAAAAGATAAGATTTCAAAGCAAGTGATTGAAGCTATCGATCATCAAACTAAATCAATCACTTGGAAAGTGATTGGTGGGGATCTGTTAGAGTTGTACAATTTCTTCACTATTATCACATCATGTGACCACCAATGGACTACATGGATATTTGTGTACGAGAAGAAAACTGAAGACATACCAGAGCCTCTTGTTCTCTTGGGCTTTGTCCTTCACGTGACAAAAGATATCGAGGGTCACCTTCTCAAGTAATAAAAA